AAAAAAAAAAAAAAAAAACAGCTTTAGAGGCCACAAAGGGGGTTTATATTTATATATATATTAATATGGTGGAGATCCTTGCGCTGCCATTGAATTGCGGTACTGTCGTAATCCCTTGCACCGGTAATATGTATTTTGCGCGGGGTGTGCTCTTTCAAGTCCCACCCACTGCTATTGACACTGTTGATCGTAAACACTTAAGAAGGTAGCCGCCCATGAATACCCAAATTAATATTACAATAACACGCTAACACGCCCCAATCCACATTAAATGCAGGAATTTTAATTGAGAAGTAATGGACTTCACGTAAGGGATTACTTTCAGAAACAGGCTTGAAATCACAGGTCCTTTGGCAAAAGCGGTCTTGCCCAGTCTGGCAGGCTTAGGTTGGTGTTGGTGTTGCCTCGCAGGTAAACTAAGACTTCACTCATTCGAGCTTCGTCCCATAAGTCACCCATGCCCTGTACACACCCCATTTCACCCAACTGCTCACAAATGTCCTTGACCACGGGAACATGCGGCTTGCCGGTGGCCATTTCCTTGAACTTGCGCTTCAAGCTAGCCATCTTGACCCCAAATTTGCGCGGATAGTGCCTCGGGATGTCTCAGGTTTTGGGTTGCGTGTATCACTGGTCATTATACTTGATTTGAGAAGTTGGTTTCGCTAGCTTATGTTACGCATTATGGTCCCTAAGCCCCAGACTCAGTAGCTCGTAGAGCTTTCGTGCCACAATATTTCATTTTACCATCAGGGCCAAGATAATGGCGAGTCGTCTCGGTCTGTAGATAACGCTTGGCTTTGCGCCAGTCGCGAAGGGGGCCTCGATCAAAAGCACCAATGGCTTTGGAATTCGAAATGAGGGTTGTCCGCTTAGGAGTTTTGGATCCAAAATGGATCATCCAAAAATCACACCGCCACACCTTAGATGCACTTGGGGAATTAAAAGCCGGCTGCCAAACAAGTGGGAATCCATGCAATCTATATACATGCGTAGAAGCGACCCTGCAAACACCGGCAAGCCAGCGTATACGCGGATGCCGGAACATATGCGACGATCGCGGCTGTTCTAGCAGCCATACCCCTCCTCGAGATAATACCATGAGCATGATGAGCACGCTTCTGGCCAGGGAAAATGAACATGATCCCCGCAAAATTGTTTGGGCCAATGTGGGTTTGGGATCCTATACAACGTGAATGCAAAACTCTCCGGCCTTGCAACCAAACAATTTGACTCAACCACACTCCTTTTTGATATATCACCAAGTGGTAGGAGGAATGACCGTCGACTCGTCCCCACATTGATTGCCGTACTGGAGGAGCACTTTATCCCGAAATGGGCTATGATGTCATCTTCAACAGTCTGTAGCATCGCGATAATACCGAGCCTTAATGGCAAAGCTTGCGATCAGTTTCCAGTAATGATAAGCAGGTTTTAAAACAATACGTATCCGTAAATGCAGCTGAAGAACGCCATTCCGGCTGGGGTGAGGAGGTCCAAGTAATTTTGTTTTCCCGGGGGGCCGTCATAGTTCATAATATCCAGGGGGCAGCCAATCAAACCAGAGCTTGTCATGCACTGGGTCGCCATAGCTGAGCCACTGAAGTACTCAAGCCATTGAAATACCTCAGCACAACCCGTGATTCTATACTCAGCTTTGTTCAAGCCATGCAGAAAAACAAACATCAACCCCGCATCCAAGAATCCTGTTGCAAGTGGGGCCCGATGTTGTCCGTCCAGAAGATTAGGAGGATGCACAAGATCAGTATCTCAGGGCATATGTGGGGGATCCGTACTACACAACTTAAAATCCATTAGGCCTATAGTAATCTACGGCAATGGGGCCTTCGGTGCACCAAGAAGCCTCAAGCGGGCAATCAGCGCGGCCATGGAGTCAGGACTCCAAAATTTCGCCATTGCGGGCATACTCTTAGTTTGCACTGCAATATTGTATTGGGTCAAACCGGGGAAAGCTTTTAATCTTTCTCAATTTCTAGTTTCGGGGGCGCGCAAGTACCGTACACCTAACATACATATTGGGGACAACCATGCCATAGGTGTTATAACTTTTTAATGCATTTTCTGGATCAGTTGCCCTCTGCAGCCTGAACTTCACGCGCCAAAGACAATATCATGATTTGAGCTCCTGCTTTCAGAAAGACAACCATTCAGAACCCACCGCAATCACCAACACTGGCACACAACATAAGCCCGTAAATCCAAACATGGCAGATTAACCTTTGGCACGCTTCACAAGGTGTTGCCGGTAAACGCCAGCTTGTTGATGAAGAGCACGTTGTATTTCTGCAGACCTGCGCGAGGGAAACCGGGTTCTCCAGAAACAACTCAAACTTGGGGCTTCTCACATACATGAACCTAACAAGGCTGATAATGCCGCGACATTTTCGAAGCTTTGCATGGGCATTCGCCGGGGCAAATCCGCAACGTGCTTTTGTGAAGTGCATCGTGTCTGCTTTCAGCCACATCGGAAAGCTATTGACAAAATTCTGGGCTCTGACGATACTTTAAAGTAGGCCCCAGCAAGAAAAATCTTTACATGTTCATCAATTTGCGCTTGCTGTCTTCGAAAATAGCAAGGGCATCGTCCCAAGACACGCCATTCAGCAAATCCAAAGCCTCGGATGATGATTCCGAAGTGTTGGGTTGGGTTAAATAGTCTTAACTTTTCCCGCTATTTACATGCTTATTAATTCCGAAGCCCAAGAAGCGAGCTGCTTCATTGGAACCCAATTCGCGTGAATATCCAGCTTGGTCTGCGACATGTAGGCAACCTTATTTGGGTCATGTCCTCTTTGGTGGATGTGTTTACAATCAGCAACATGCAAGTTCATGAGTGACAATTTCCAAACTAGTTGCTTGGATTCCATCGGCATTCAAGATGCCAAAGCCCGGGCGAGTCCAATAGGCCATGAGCGTGTAGGGGCTCTTCGAAGAACGATTGTGTTCGAAAATGAAAGTCTTGATCACCAGCTCCTCCTACAAGAAAGTTTCGTTACAAGTACTATGTACAAGTGCGTTTCACAAAAGCTTTGCAAACACTTGCTTGAGTCCTCTGTTCGGGTTCCGGGGGGTTTGCCTGCTTTCTTGGCAGCTGGTTTGGAAGACGTTGCTTCATCATCCTTCTCACCCTTTGCCTTGGACTGCGACTTTGCTGTAGCCTTTGCCTTACCTTTTGCTTTTGCTTTTGCTTTGCTTTTGGCGCGTGCCTTCGCAGCCGGCTTCTTGCGAATCGCGGGGCCCTCTGTTGCACCATCTATTTCATCATCCTCAGCATCCTCATCATCCTCATGCCTCGGCTGCTGCAACTTGCGGCTCGCGGGCTTTTGCTTCTGCGCCTGCTGCTGGGATGGGCTTTCCTCTCCCAAATCATCATCCCCTTCACTAATATCATCACCATCATGCCCGTTCTCTTCCATATCTTCATCTTCATCCACGAAATCAATTGCGGCTGCTGGCCTTTTCCGAATGATGCTTGCTTTCGCTGCTGCTGCTGTCTTGCGCTTCTTTGTTGGGGGCTTTGCTTCGCTCGTATTTCCTGGGCCCTCATCATCACTCTCATCCGCTTCTTCATGCTCGATTGGGGCGCTCTCATGTTCATTACTCTCCTCTCCGTCCTTTCCTGCTTTTGTTTGCTGCGCTGCCGTCCTACCTCTTCCTCTACCTCTTCCCCTGCCCCTGCTTTTGCTCTGGGGATTAGCTTTGGCCTTTGCAGCCTCCTTACGTTTCTGATTCAAGCTCAGCTGCTCAAGTCGGCTCACAACCTAGGATATCAAAAGCTCTGTGCGTCAAAAACTGGGACTACCTAGCCTGAATGAATATCGCAAAGTTGCAGGAGCTGTCTCCAAATCGGTGGGCGTGATCTGGGTGTCATCCATGTCTGCGGGCGAGCCTGCGGGCACGTGGATTTAAATTTGGGGTTAAACGAATTTGAGATGCTCATATTGAACAAGTTTTGAGGGCATGAATCTTCCCATCTGGGTTGGGCAAGCGCAATAAACACATAGATACATAACTCGAGATAATGTGGGTGTGGGGTGCTTAAGCGGCCTTGTGGCCCATCTGAAGCGGTGGCAGTGCGAGATGCAGCTCTCTCCGCCAACCTAAGCAAACTCAGGATTTATCAGTGGGAGATTTGACAGCTGCTGGTTGGTAGTATGTGCCGCATGGTCTTGCAACAGAAAGTATACTGATGTAGGGGTGGCACGTAACCTTGATTTGCTCCATCTTGGCTTTCAAAAAATCCCGCCGGATATTTGCAGCATCCTCAGCATTCATCATCACGCAATCATCGCCATCATCTTCATTCTCATGAAACACCTGGGTCGTCTTGCTGGGCTGGGACGCGCCCGTTTCGCACGCAGCATCAGTTTTGGCCTTCCGCGGTTTGGATTTCGCAGCGGTGGGCTGGGAAGGCACTTCAGGGATATCATCAGCAGGCACTTCAGGATCAACCTCCTGTTGTTCCTCCTCTCCTCCTTCATTCCCAGTGGGCATTTCGGCATTTCACCCTCATCCTCATGATCGGCCACTAACTTTTCAAGCTTTTGTAAGCACAAGTCTGCATGCACAAGTGCCTCTTGCTCTCTCGCTTCCTTTTCCTCCTTATCCAATTGTGGATAGTCGGCCTGAATTAGAAACTCACTTACGAAAGCGCATTACATTGAACAACTATTCCTAAACCACTAGCATGTCCTGCCTTGAGGCCAAACGCTGACACCACGTTGTGATAATCAGAGTCCTGGGATGGGTAGGCGCAAAATCGAAAATCCGATACTCATCAACATGGGCCTCGCTAACTTCACTACATGCAAATCCTAGAACTAATGTTACCGAGGTTCGCGGCTGATTCTTTCACTCAAGAACTGCTTTCTCACCATGGACATGAGTCGTTTCAGCTCTTTGGCATCCGTCCGGCACAAAGCTTGGATATAGGCTGGGATCTCAAAGTTCTTGGGTAGCTGGGGCATACGACCACTTGATTTCTTCTTTTCCCGAGCCTCAAAAAATTTGTACCACAAAGCGAGGAATTCATCTTGGATTTCATCCAGCGGTGGAAGCTTCAAATTCCGGGCCGCTCTCATCTCCAGCGCTATGGGTATGATGAACATTTCATTGACAATCGCCGTTTCTTGGGTGCAAAGGGGAACCTTGTCCCCCTCCGCCGGAGCAATCAGCCCTGAACAATGCTCAAGCGACATCCGCTCTTTGACCGCAGGATTTGAGTGCCAAGCAACGCCCAGCCCATTGAGCCGAACCTGGGAGACCTTTCGGTCCATGGCCTAAACCCAAACCCTTGGAGCTAAAAAAACTGCAGAATCAAAACGTTTCCTGCATCCACATGAGCCTGAAATTTCCCATGCTCATGATGGACTCCTAATGCTCATGTTGCTGCCGCACACGATTACCTGCCGTTGTCATGAACATGCACGGGTGGGCGAACCTCTTGGTTGGCCCCATGCAGCCGCATGCTGGGCGGCCATTGCTTCAGCATCGCTTCACAATTCTTAAAAGCATGCGTATGCTTGGGTTGCCAGGCTGTCTTCTAGAATGACTTCTGCTGTCCAGCAGAGACGCATGACTGTTAAACCAAGCCAGCTTTATCATGCGCAGGCTTATCCTAAATACCCCCAATCAACCACTATGAGTATCCGAGTACCCCACCTGAATCTTGTTTTGGGCAGTGAGCCACGGTGGCACGGCCTGATGGGGTTGTGGTTTAGAGATTATAGAAAAGGTGTTTCAGGAGATTGGGCATTTTGAGGTTAAGAGTGGGTTGGGCTTCAGGAGATTCATCTGGAGAGGATTTGTCTGGAGCCTGGGGCCTTATAATCTTGAGTTGAATTACTTTGATGGGTTTGGAAGCTCATGTTATGGAGGCCTCTAGAACCACTACTATAAAAAAATGGCCGCTTTCAAGGGGACCCTAAAACCCATTTAAAAACCAAATTACGGCCGTTTATCACTAAAATCTGGGAAAAACCATAAGGACGATTATTTTCATCCTTTCGTATCCCCAGGTAAACCCTAAACCAAAATTAGTTCACCTCAAAACAACTGGCCTAGAGTTTGCAGAAGAAACCAAAATTAGGCCACAGTAGTCACGACCTTTGGCTCTGAAGTTACATATAGAGGAATTGCAAAAATTATGGGTACCTTTACAGGGGTTTAGGGTTTCTTTTGGGGTTATAGAGGGCTCAAGGATTAGGGTCTAAGGTTTAGATCCCTTTTTCGGGACTCCCAAGAACTTTGATTATCGTATTTTGGGGTCCAAATTGGGGTCCCACTATTTTGCCCTAAGGGTCGAAGGACCGAAATAATAGGATTTTAGGGCCCAAATACCATTAATGGTATAGTATTTGGGCCCTGAAACCTTATTATTTGGGTCTTTGGACCCTTAGGGTTTGGGCAACTACTGCGATGCGATACTGGCGGTGAGGCCCTGTTGCGGGACGGGTACGAGCTGCTGGAGGCCGCGAATGGGGCCATCTTGGTGGAAGATCATATGAACCCCAGTCTAAACTCCTTAAAGGGGGTTTTACAGGGGATTATATATAACAGTACTATAGGGGTTATTAAGGGGGATACTAGGAGTTTAGACTATTGCTCACATCCCGCTGGATTACATCATATTCCCCTGGGAGCTGATTGCCCCCGTCGTGGAGAAACAAGTGAACAAGAGAAAAGGGAGAGTCGGGTGGTAATGGGGTGTGTACTGTGGATTCTGAAATTAAATTGGGGTAGGGTGTATTTTCCGCTTTTCGGTGACTGTATTTCTATTATAAGTGTATGCAGGGTGGAAATACTGATGCGTGCATATATTCAGTGTCCTGGTATTGGTGTCATCTTAAATTAGGGTCCCTGAGCCCTCAATGTAGGGTTTAGGGTCCCTAAACCCGAAACCAAATGGAGCCGTATAGGGCGCGCAATAGAGAGCACCTGAGTGGGGGAAAGCCCGCCCCTAAACCCAAAACCGTGGACCCCAAACCCTAAACCACGCTTTACAGCAAGTCTCTGCGGCTGGATCACATGACCTAGGTGTGGGGTTGACCTAGAAAGCCAGTAGCCCCTGATTAAAGTCTATAATCCCCTCATTTCCTACGACTTTGGGTTTAGTCTACTTGCCCCTCATTTCCCACAACTTTGGGTTCAGTCTCCTTTCCCTTAAGTTCCTACGACTGTGGGTTAAAGTAACCCATTATTTTCGAGATCTGTGCTTTCAAGGTAGGGTTTGGAGATTGCTCTTGGGGTTTGGCATCAGACTTGAGATATAGGGGCTCCAGATTTTGATGCAAGCAGGGGCTTAGGGTTTTGGGTTTGCTTAGTGTGCGAAAGAAAGGACACTTAATTCACAAGAATTCATAAGGCTCCTGGGCCCTCATCGTGAGATCCCAAACCTCAGCCCGAACCTTCCCACAGAAAGCCCAGTACAACCCAACCCTAAAACCTAAACCCTAAACCTTAAGGCGCAGTAGATCTTCTGCTCACGCCTCGGCTTTAGTACACTACTGTTGATGGAGGGAATCTTGCACCACCTTAGGTCCCTAAAAGCCTAGGAATTACAGTAGTTTAGGGCCCCTAGGTGGTGCAAAATTTCATCCATCAACAACCCTAAACCCTAAACCCTAAACCCTAAACTCTAAACCCTAAACACTAAACCCTAAACACTAAACACTAAACCCTAAACCCTAAACCCATACTACTCATCCATCAACAGTATCAGCCCAGGGCTAGAAGTGGGAATGATGAACCAACGAACCGGTGCTTGGAAGGTCAGGGGGGCCTTAGTAAATCTTAGTAAAACAAGTGAAATTCTAAGAGTAAGAGTAAGAACACTATAGTACTATGCAGGCTTAGGGTTTAGGCTTCAAGGTTTAGGGTAAATGAAGATGAGTATATAATACTAATGTACTGATTAGGATCAGTGGGTTTATCATATACTCTCCCTGGCTCTCCATGTACTATGCCGATTTTGATGCATGCCCGTAAACCCTAATGGCCCTAATGCTGTGATCCAGGATCAGTCAACCTTTCACCCTAACTGAACTATAGCGTAAACTCCTCAAAGGGTTCTGCAGGGGATTGGGTTCTATAGGGGATTGTAGAGCGGAGTAGTACAGCGGTTATGAACGGGAATACTAGAAGGTTAGACTATAGCTCAACTGAGCCTTAGACCCTAGACTGGAGAAGAAATCTGACACTGTAGGGTTACGGAGACGACATCCCGCGCGACCCTTTGTAGCTGAACTGAACTCTGGGAACTATGATGCTGTGGAGTCGGTGGGCTTTGCATCTTCACATGAATGCATCTTATTCCGGCACATGATCTAGCTTGCGCGTTGCTCAGCTGTTGGTGAGTTGGGGAACGCCAGCGCCGGACCTCCGCCATGAGATGCACATGCTGCCGATTTCCGCTGCTGAGACCGTCCCTCGCGATCACTTCTCGGAGCCGCCTGTACTTGCCATGCACAAGAGTGTCAGGCGCTCGTGTGACCTTGCGGAAGTTATCGTTGGACACCTGCTGCATCCTGGGCCACCTTCTGACTAGCTTCAGGAATGCACATATTCGGAGAAGCTACCCCAAAGGGTCCAAGGACCCAAATCATGAGGGTTTAGGGGCCCCAAATACTATACTCTTAATAGTATTTGGGCCCTCAAATCCTATTATTTGGGTCCTTGGACCCTTAGGCTACTCAACGGTGAAGACATGTGCTCCAAGAGCCAGTCTCATCTAGGCCTATGGATGCTTTCAGGTATTGACCGTCAAAGGGCGCCAACCCCTGAAATGATCCATATGTACATATATGTATATATATATATATATATCCCTCAGGGTCCCAGGACCCCAAATAATAGGATTTTAGGGCCCAAATACCATTAGTATAGTATTTGAGCCCTAAAACCTTATTATTTGGGTCCTTGGACTCTTAGGGTATAATATAACCCGAAACATATACGTAGACATATTACCTTAACAACATACATATAAACATAAATCAATGCTTGTATATGTACACACACAATTTATGTAAATCTCTGTAGAGGCCCAGAAACCATCCAACGCTGTTGTGAACGATAAATTCGTTGCTCGCCATACTCGAGGTCATTCCTACGAGGGTGGCTTCGGATGTTTGGGGGCTTAGGGCGACTAATCAAGAAGCATGTTAAAACAAGCATTTCATTTTTTTGGTGGCGGTTCTTATTCTAACGAAATTAAATGCCTATCGCCATTTATTGTTACTATTTAGTATTAAAACTTGCTATTACTATTATCTTTTACGATGACTAGATGTTACACGACTCCTCAGGCTACCAAGTGAAGTGCTGAGGGTTGAAGTTTGAAGCATTTCCCTATGAGTAGTGTTTTGGTGGTTGAACCTAGTANNTACCATAGTATCCCCAAATTAAACACTACTCCTATGGCTCACAGTAGTGTTCAACTTGAGTCGCGAGTCTACCACGCCCTTTCTTTGCTCCTACTCCCACAGGACCTAGCATGAAGCACCCAAACGTCTCAACCTTATGAAGCCCTAACTCCGAAACCCTGAACCCTACACCCTAAACCCTACCCTAAGGGCCCAAGGACCCCAATAATAGGGTTTTCGGGCCCAGATACCATAGGGTTAACGGTAGTTGGGCCCTAAAACCCTCTCATTAGGGTCCTTGGACCCTTAGGGCTACAAATCCTAAACCCTAGATCAACAGCGGAGCTTTTGCAACAGTCCAACGCTCAAAAAATCTGAGGGGACCCCTTGAACTGTACCTAGAAAAGCCTAGTTACCCAAAACAACTGGCTACTTTCAGAGGACGGTGGAGGAAAGTAGACGTCCACCGAGCCTAATCCCTAAACCCTGAACGCCCAGTTTAGGATTGTGTGTGAAGTCCAGGGATTCGGGTTTAGGGCATACGGTTTAGGGCATAAGCGTTTAGTGGCTTAGGGTTTCAGGGCTTAGGGTTTCAGGGGCCAACGCCGCTATTATCTATAGGTTTCGTGATAACCTTACAAATCCCCTCCCCTTACTCCTCCCCCCCCCCCCACCCGCCCCACCCTAAATCCTAAACCCTAAACCCTATATAAACCCTAAATCCTAAACCCTCAACCCTAAAACCT